AATAGAAAAATAGACAGAGGGAACAGTAATTATCTTCTCTATACATGAGGTGTTCAGTACACTTTTCCTTAAGCTAAGACGTGAAAACGGATACCTCAAACGTTTTGAACGTCATTTCAAAATCATTGCAGCTCTACAATCAGCTGCTGAGAAGACACTCCCTATTTTATTTACTCAGCATGTTAGCTTCAACTCAAGCCAAAGTTTGTAAATTTTGATCAAATTTATAGAAAAAGTAACTAACATCTATAATATCAAATCATTATTATTAGATTTATCATGGAATATATTTTCATATATTGTATACTTGTTATTGTAAATGTACACAGTATTATTTTCTATAAACATGGTTGCTTCAAAAAGTTTGACTTAGAAAAAAGCTAATGTGCAGAGTAAATAAAAACAGAGTGGGTAAGACATTTTTTTTAAAAGGGGTGACTCCCCGGGCTCTGCATCAGAACGATGCATACGGCCACATTTATAGATAAATAAAGAGGTTCAACAAGCCTAACAGCCATTGTGGAATGTTGCTCTTCTTTTCTCTTTGGCAAAAATGTGAAATGTAGGGAACAGTGAACAACAAGAGCGTGCATACTACAGTAAACAGTCGGGCTCGGGCACTTGCCAGTTGCCACTAGTAAGACTGCCAGACTAGCCTTTCTTTTTTGATTGCGACATACGTTACGTTAGTGATGTGGCCGTATTTGGAGGAGGAAAAATAAATTGGGAATACCATATGCATATTAATCTCTGGTTCGGCAGAAGAGCACGACGCCGCAAGTTGCACGGGTGCCAAGCGAACTAACATGATATTGGAATGAACTGTGCTCTACGTTGGCACGCATATAAACATTGACGAAGACGACGGAGTGAGAAAAACGACGAGGGAGCAAGTGCCGTCCACTCCAGGGCGTGTTCGGCTTGTGCTAGCGGCTAGCGCGGTCTTGCTGCGTTTGGCGCGTGAGGCGCGGCGGAACAGCGACCGCGCACGGGAAGTTGCTAGCGGCAGAAGAAAAGAAAGAGATCGAGTCCATCGGGATCGGGTTGGGGGGAGGGTTCCTACCAGACAGCTTGTTACTTTAGTCCTCCCTCCAC